GGGAGGGGGTCGGGGGAAGGTGCAGGCATATTGTATTCGCAGGCAGCACGGGGGACCCAGCGGCTGTGGCCGAATTGTATGTATTCAAAAGGGAGCTCACGTTCGTGAAGTCTCAGAAAGCGGATAAGTATCAAGACACGACACAGCAGCACAGGAGAAAATACTAAAGTGGTCAACGTCAACTGAATCTGTATCGTTCCAACGTCTCACTTCAGCTTGGCCTGGCTAGAGAGCCGAGACCTGTGCCATTGTGGCTGAAATTTTGAGTCGTCATAGGTGGCTTCCGGTTTTCAAGCCTTCTCGTAGTTCGCTTCTCAACCCTGCGCCACCGTGCTGGGGACAGTTCCCCGCGCACCTGCACAGCTTCGAGACGAAGAAAGCCTGTCCGTAGTTTCCAATCCTTCCTGTGGGTGCAAAGTGTAAAGGGAAACCACCATGTGGCCCATGCGGCCAGTCCAATCAAAAGAATGCGGGGGCTTTGGCCATTGCGCGTCACCCAGAAAGCTGTCTGCTCGGCTTTCCACCTGTTTCCGCAAATTGCGCATCTGTTTGCGCCCCTAGCGGGGCGTCGTCCAGGCTCTTGCCGGAGGTGTCGCCACTGCTAGGTGCGACCTTGTGACACTATGCCAGGAGCCGAAACCTTTTTTTTTTCCCGAAACCCCGAAACCTTATGAAACATCAAGAAGCTAGGAGCGGACGCTGAGCGGCCTTGAACAAACGGCAATCGCATCCACGTGACTGCGAAGCTCGACACCGTCGATTGACTAACACCCTGATTACGCACACTGCATAGCCGAAGCAATGTGCATGCATTCTACGCAGAAGGACAACTGCTCGACCTGGCGAGGCGCCTAAGCTTCGAGGTAGCCTGCAAGCCGCACTTGCAACGACAATCGAAACATTGTCTTGCCGCAACTAGAAGCTGGCGCAACAGCCAATCAAAGCGAGTTTGCTCGACAGGTTGTTAAAAGTCATTACTTAACTCCCAAAGATGCCGAGACCTCCCAGAGCGCCGTGCCGCGCAATGCGTCGCCTCTCGGGCGCGGAATTTTCGGCCGCGGAGGCCTCGTGCTGCGACTCCGACTCTGCATCGCTGACTGTCTCCAACTCCCTGCAATGCGCCAGCTTTGCGATGCCGCTTTGGCCGGAACGTTTACTGTGCGGATATTTCAAGCTTCATCTGCAGGTTGACGCTCATGCCAAGACATGGCCGCCCCGAAACCGGAACGAGCTTCATTTCTGCTTTTGGAGCTGCGCCTATTGTTAAGGTTAAAGGCAGAGATTCCGAAGCCATGGCCGCACCGCACAACAACAGTCTGCTGCGGTAAAAAGAAATTCATGGAACACCGCTGCTCGCACAAGAATACCTGCTGCCTCGCCTGCAACAAAAGGTAGTGATACGAACGCCGAACTTCCTTCTGGTGGTTTTCATGTTACTGTGAAGTTCCTTTCGCTTGTCGACGAAGAAAGGCTATCCGTAGTTTTCAAGCTCTCGTGCGTGTGCAAACTGTAAAGAACCGTAAAGGGAATCCACGCGAGCGCGAGCGGGGCACTCGATGCGTTTTTTGCAGCCAAAAGATGTCTGCGCGGTTTAGGGTGTAGGGTTTGGGGCTTCGGGTTTACGTATTACTATTACTACTACTACTACTACTACTACTAATACTACTACTACTACTACTACTACTACTACTAATATTATTATTATTATTATTATTACTACTATTACTACTAGTTCTAGTACTACTACTTCTAGTACTAGCACTAGTATTAGTACTATTAATAGTACGATTACTTCTAGTACTTTTAATAGTACGAGTACTTCTAGTACTACTTCGACCACTACTACTACTACCACTACTACTACTACTACTACTACTACTACTACTAGTAGTACTAGTACTACTAGCACTACTACTACTACTATTACTAGTAGTACTACTACTACTACTACTACTACTACTACTACTACTACTACTACTATTACTACTAATACTACTAGTACTACTACTACTACTACTACTATCACCACCGCCAGCACCACTACTACCGCGACCCTCGAGAGACCGGGCCGGCCGCCTTCTGGATGCAGGGGCTGGAGTAGGGTCGAGTGCCGTCGTCTGCCTGGGCACTCAGAGTGCGGGATGCAGGACGACGACGTTGCCGAGGACAGTTTCGCTGTTGCTGTTTCTGCATTCTAGTCGATGGTGCAGAGCCGAGCTTTCGGAAGCGCTGAGATGCTTTTTCTTTCAGGCACTCCCTTTTGCTGCAGACCAGTGCAAAGTTGAGTTCAAAGAATTGTAGCTGTGTTAGGAATCGAGTAAAAGTACACGCGATACGGCCGAGGACGGAAAGGAACGTCCTGCCTCGCTCCTGCCAGGGAGGTCGGGTCTCGGCGTTTGCGTCGGACCCGGTCCTTGCGGACATCATCATGCTGCGAATTTCGGCCGGGCTCGCAGCCGAGGGTTTTGGACCCGACAGCGCGGTTGTCGCGAGGAAGTCTTCGAATTTCGACTTGGTCTAGCCAGGGGGCCGAGACCCTTTTCTGTGTTGCTGCTGGATTTAGCGCTCTTTCACTTCAAAACTTGGCAGTCTGCGCCGGAAGGGCTCCGAATCTTGCCTCACCATGCGAGGCGGTGGTGACACGCGGGCCCGGCCGGCTCCGAATCAGTCGAGACGCAGGAGCTTTCTGTCCCGCTCCTCATCGCAGCCGGAGGTCCGCACCGGGTTGCCCGCCGAAGGAAGCTCGCGTTTCTTGCCGGGCAGAGCGGCTTTCGAACTTTCCCGGCCGAGAACGTGCTGATCGATCCTGGACATTGCAGCACGCAGATTCATGCGCGCCTTGTGCAAGATTTCTGCGTCCCGCGGCTCCAATTGGCCGGCGGATATCACCGTCAGCCCCGCTTGCGATTTGTCAAGCGCCTCCGCCACGAATGCACGGTCCTGTTTGGATTGGAACGACCAAGGCCAGTCGGTGGGACGACCGCAGAAGTATGCTGCGCCTGTGTGAACCAATTCCAGCACACGAAGAACGTCCCGGGCCTCGACTTCCTCCTCGCGTCTGAGGTGATTCTCCACCTTTTCAGCGAGCGTTTCCGCCACCCACAGCACGTTAGGATAAGTTTCCGCCACCCACAGCACGTTAGGACGACTCCGGCCGGAGTCTGTCGAGCCCACAGGAGGGGGGCGGCCGCTCGTCGTGTCCGGATTCTCGCGCTCCAGGCTGGCCAAAGCGGCGGAACTATGGTGATATGCACCCACAGCATCCACCTCGACGGCAGCGCTGTTCACGTCACACAGAAGGTCGGACAAGGATTCTCGTTTGCTGTACTCTCCGTCGCTCATCTCTTCCATTCGATCGCCTGGCATTAATGCGCTATTTCGGCTTGGACTGGCCATAGAGCCGAGACCTTCGCCAGCCCGGGGCTAGGACTTCTCCAAGATGTTTGGGCCGAAGGAACACGACACCGCGCTTCGATGGCGGTCGGAACAGGAGATCTCTCGCCGGAACTAACGGTCTGGGAGCCTGCACGACCGTTGCGTGCGTTCGCCGTTTCAACGGGCGAGTGCATACCTGGAGATTGTCGCATCCAAAGTCGGTACTTCATGGCAAGTGGCTGAAGCGACAGGTCTCCCCGCCTCCACGGTTGGCCGTGTGGTGTCTCTGGAACCGGGACGACAAACTTCGGGTTTGTTAAGATGTAACGGACCTCGGGAAGAACAGGAGGTGGAACGGGGATTCCTGGACATGTTTTTCATCTCGGATAGCTGCTCTCTTGTGTTAGACTCAACAGCGTTTCTAGTGGAAGATGGCGAGCCTTGCCAAGTTCTCTTGCCTTCCGGGAGAAGCATGACTTCGCGGCGTTCGTCGTTCCTCGGTTTAACAGGCAACACCAGTCTTTTCACAAACTTTCGACTTCTTCAACCAGCTGCATTGTGCGGACAGACTAGACCTTGCAAGACATGCCCGTGTTTCAATCGATCAAGCAGCAAGCGTGTCTCTGTGGCGGCCTCCCCGGCGTCTTTGCAAACACGAGCGTGCTCTGACAGTCATGCGGACTGGAGACTTTTACATGCCACCCCCATTCGGCCGTGCTATGGGGTCGCCCCGCTCCGGACGTCGCGACGAGGCGCCTTGTCCGGCTGTCCCACCTCGCCACGGTGGAGCTCCATCGTGATGTCTACGGGCTCGGACGAGAAGAGTCCGTGCTCCCGTGCTCGTCGTCGAGTGCACCGACATCTGCGTCTCCGGGGCGAGCGGCAGTCGACGAATCGAGCACCGCTTCGGGTAAGTGGCAGCAAGCACAGCATCCAAGACCAGGACAAGAGGCAACTTGCCGCTTCAGCTCAGGCAAAAGTATCACCGATTGACTTCATGTCAGCAGGGACACTTGTAGGATTCGAGGTCGCAGAAAGCGGCCAAGAAGAAGCCGCTGCAGCCTCGAGCTCCAAAGTTTTTCTCTAGAATGGTTTCAGTTTCGGAACTTGATGCAAGCTGAAGGCAGACGTGACATCGGCGAATCTGTTTTTATTTTTTCCGCATGTAGGAAACGTTCGGCTCTGGGCTTGGCCTGGCCAGAGGGCCGAGACCCGTGCGATACCACTATTGCTGCTGTTGTTACTACTATTTCTTGTACTAGTACTACTACTATTACTGCTAGTACTACTACTGCTACTACTATTACTAGTACTAGTACTAGTTTTAGTACTAGTATTTAGTACTATTAGTAGCAGCACTAGAACTATTTCTCTGGACTCCCAGCAGATCATGTCAATAACTAGCACCCTTGCAAGGAACAGAACTCCTCGCCAAATGCTTCTTTTCAAGATCTGGAAAAATTCAAAAGAATAACAATATATATATATATATATATATATATCTTGTTATATATATATATATTGTTATATATATATTTATGTTTTTATATATATATATATAAATATATATATATATATATATATATATATATAGGCTCCAGGTCCATTCCGAAGTGGTTTTCTTTCGTTCGCTTGCAATCCCAGACAGCTTCAGGCCTTAAGCCGTGAGCTCCGGCATTACCGGTGGGTGCTCTACCCACAAATTCGGGTCGGCGGGCGCCGTGGCCCTTCCGGGCGGGTGCTTTCACCCGTATAATTCCGATGGTAAAGTAGCAGCCTCGAGCGTACGTCTCCATGTCACGGCTCAACCTCAGGGTGGGACAGAGAGAGAGAGAGAGAGATATATATATATATATATATATATGTATATGTCTCTTTAGAGCCCGAACAGATACACATACGCAGAGAAATACATACGTAGAATAAAGGGTTCGAGGTTGCACGAAAAAACAAGCCTCGCTCTCGCCCTGTAGCTTCATGTCCTGTATCAGCTGCTCCAGCGCATTCGTGCTGGGACAGACCATGGATCGCATCTCGTCATCTCGGATAAGGCTTTGCGGCATGAAGCAAAAGGATAGTTATATATACATATATATAAGTATGTATATATATAACTATATATATATACATATAGGTATATGTACACATGTATGCATATCTATATATATATATATATGTATATATATATGTATGGATATAGATATATATATATATATATATATATCCAGAGAGAAAGACAACGTGAGTAGTGCATCCCGGAGACGAAAGTACTTCATGAAAAAATTCATGGCACGCAGAATCCACTTCAGCATCTCCACCGAGTTGTGGTCGCCCTGTTCCAGCGTTAACCCCATCGCGGCCTGTATCAAGAGGTCGCAATTCCTGAGATGTCATTACCAAGAAGCAATGAAACATGTCAGTAAATTGTATTGAGACACACCCACGATGGTTTAAGAACATAGATATCTACGTACACTTATATAGAGTTATATACATATATATATATATATATCAATATATAGATATATATATATATATATATATGTTGATATATTGATATATATATATATATATATATATTGTTTGACATATATATATATATAGTTTTTGTTATATCTCTATATATATCTATATATATATATGTATAGACTTCACACGTATCAGAATTCGCCGAGATGCTCAGGGTCGTCGATTCCAGTTCGTCGCACAACCCCGGGTGTCGTGACCATCAGCAAGAAGCGGTTCATTCTTTTCCCGCGGGTTCTGAAGTTCATCTGTCCTACACGGCGCAGTCGTTTCTTTTCGGGCAGAGGTAGCTCGTGCACATAGGAAACCAGCCAGTGCCAACCGTACTCCTCCAGTTCCCACAGGACCATGTATAGTCTGGAGCGAACGATCAACAGCTGCATTTTATCCGACCATGAAGCACCGGCCATCGCGGACGCAGGAAAAGTCCAAAAGCTAAGCGCGGTGCTGGCAAAAATGCTCGAGCATCATGTTGCGAGCAAACGCCGCAGCTGGGACAAGTCTGAAACGGTGGCGGATCATGCTTCCGAATCCATCTCGCCGTCAAGCCACCTTGCTGCCTGTGATGGCCACGATGGAGGTGGAAAGGAAGCGGAGGACAAAGGCGACAGCGATAGAAGAGCCGGGAAGCCGGTCGTCGCTTTCGAAGCAGGAGCCTCGTCGCCGACGCGACCGCCGAGTCGAGGCGGAAGTGTCTCTTCGGATACTGATATAAGAGCCGGGAACGCAGCGATCGACTCCGAAGCGGCCGGCGACCGCGGCAGAGGAGACGTCCAAGCCTCGTCGCCGACGCTGGCGCCGTCTCGTGGCGGAAGCATTTGCTCGGACGACGGCGCAGCAGGAGCATCGGCCGGATCCGGTACTTCCGACGTCGGCGCTTCGGTGGTTGCCTCCCAAATCGAAGGCGAAACAGACGCCTCGGTTGGGTTTGGCACCGGAGACGCCTGCGCTCCAGCAGCCGGCACGGATGCCCGGTCGTTCCAGCGGAGGTGGGGAAGGTGCAGCAGCGGGCAGTGTGGCATGATGCAGCGATGAGTGCGGCAGTAGTCGGCGGTCTTGTAGCACACAGGACAATGCAATCCGGGGCGCGCCGCCCGTATCAGTGCCTCTGCTCGCAGCGTGAAGTTTTCTTCGTCGCCGATGTTGTTGTACTGCAGTCTGAGCCACAGGGGCACCGGACCCTGCGAAAAGGGTCGAGCAGACGGATAGTATCGGTTCTCCGCCACTGCCTGGATGATCTCGAGAGCACCCGCGGCCTCGATGCGGTTGTGCGTGAGATGAAGTTCGAAGAGAGGGATTACCGCGGATTGGATCCAGGTCGCCAGGAGGCCGGCGCCGACACAGGTTAGCTCGTTTCGGAAAAGCTTCAGTATGCCCACGACGACCCTTGCCCTCGCCAGCGTCTTCAACAGGATCTCCAGAGAGCTGTCGTCGAGGTCAGCCCGACTCACGTCGACCTCGCGAGCAATGACGTGTCCCTCGTGCTGCCAGAGTCCACCGTCGCGGGTCAGGCGTCGTCTCTGCAATTCCGATTCCAGCCAAGTCGCGAAGTCCCGAAGTGTGGCCTGGCTGACAGGCCGACCAGAGAGATCGATGTCAAACAGGCCACCGTCCAGCAATTTGAAACAGACGTGCCAGTTCATCGCGGCGATGTGTGTGGATGAAATTCTGCTGGGAGTCTACTCACTGCACACACTCTTGGCCGTACATGCGTGCTTGTCGAGACCTGCCACCTCCGGGCGCACGTGATGTTCTCGTTTTTACATGCAGTGACTTATTTTGACTTCAGCTTGGTCTGGCCATAGAGCCGAGACACTGCGAGACGCGTACAGACACTGCGGCAGCGACACTGCTCCTTTATTTTTTAGCCCGAGCACCGGACAGTCGTCGGCGGGAGGATCTGCTCGAGCGAGAGTTGAGTGAGAGGTACGTGCCATTCTCGTTGGAAACTTCAGTTTGGCCTGGCCACCGAGTCGAGCTTTCGCGAGAGGTGGCCAAGCGCAGTCAAACGCTTCTGACTTCTGGCACCCGAGCACCGGGCGGCCGGCGTTGGCCGGATTTGCTCCGGCACGAGTCAATGCAGCGGTCGAGACCCGAATCTCCTGGGGAGAGGGGCTCGGGCGTAGAGGTGATATACGGGGAAAACACAGGATGGAATGTTTTAGCTGCCAGACTGCAAAACGCTGCTTCCTGTGTGACGAACCTCCAGGTCTTCGGGATCGCCGAGTCTCGGACCGAGCTGCGCTCGAGTTGATCCCTGTTCCCAGAAAAGCAACTTCCTGGCCTAGCTTCTCAGGCAACAACACTCTGCTCGCCCGGGGCCGTGGCTGCTCGAATCTGGTCCTTCCAGGTCAAGGACGTCGAAAGGTCGTTCGCTGCCTTGCAGGCCGAAACAAAGTCTCGATTTTGAAGTCGAGCGCAGGACGTGTCGCTAATCACACAGGACGCCC